ATATGCACTAGGTCGAATGGTCAAAAAGGGTGCCCCGGTAAAAACCGGGGTTTGTGTTCCCATCGTGGCAGAGTCCGTAATCAGTCAGCCTTATGGCACGCAGCCTCCGGTAAACCGTTCAAGAATAGCAGATGGCAAACACGGTGTCCTAGGCGCACCAATGCACATGTAATGCAAAGAAACACATAAGTGCAAACAAAACAAGATATCATGAGTTCGAGTCAAGTTCTCTAATTGCCCAGCAGAGTCGCCAGAAACTGTAGACGTCCCCGAACGTCCCGGGAGAAATCCCATTTTGTTCATTGGGGCTTACTACAGTTTGGACTCAATGTCACGGTCCTGTATCTAATCTCGCGGAGTGCAATGCAAGACCGATGAATCATCAAAGAGTCCAAATCTGACAAATCGTTTTTGAAAATAGATTTTTTGAAAGAAGTGTCAAACATGGACTGTTTTGCCAGATACAGAGTCGCCACCTAAATATTTTAAAATGAGGGAATTTAGGAAACCCTGACTCGTGCCTAAGGCCACGTGTCCGTCATCACCAAAGTTGCCTCGGCTCGGGAACTTGGGTACGATTGGGGAAGGTCACTTCATGGTACCCCCGCTCGCCGAATCAAAGATCGGCCTCTATCTTAACCATGATATCGATCTTTTGAAAACTTTGTGCTCTTATTTCGGTTATTAGCACTAGAATTCTATGTAGCACACAACATACAAGTTAGACTTGATTCGTTGAAGTTGGAACAAACATTTCATGTTTGTTTATTTGAAAGATGGTTGATGGTGCTGCTCACAAGTAGCCTAAGACGTGGATTTGCCCACCCTCAAGTGGGCTAAAACTCTCAATTGGTGAATTGTTCCAATTCAAATAACCCAACCATCACACACTAGGTATTCAGACAGTTATATCACATAAGCAAATAGCCTCAATGGTAAAGCATGCTATCATGGCAATCGCAGCTCACACGCATGCATGGAGCTAAAGCAATAAATACTTACGAGTACTCAAGCCAAAGAATAGAAGCTATTAGAAATCATGCATTGAATCCTAATATGCTGAAATGGCTAAATAGCAACAACATGCAAAATGCAACTAAGATAGGCTCGGCTATTTCTTAAAATGGCATATGAAAATGCAACAATGATACACGTATTCATACTCCGTAATTGAAATACAATGCAGTTAGTTATGATGCGCTGAGCCCGGTACATGCAAGACAGATAAATGGATGCAAACATGCGAACAGAGTATGCTAATTGAACGTGCCCTAAACTAACCATCATAAGCTGGTAAATAAAAAGGAGAAAGACGTGGGGTTGGAAGGCATGCATCACACACACATGCACACTTATTACAACATTGCCCTCCCTTGGAGGGTCCGAATGAATAGTACATAATAAACTAGCTAATCTAAGCTAACTAAACTAATTATTACACAGCATTAATTAATTAACGAATTAACTAAGTAAGTAAGGAAACTAGCATGCAAATTAAACAAAATGGACTGCCTCAGCTCTGTTCTGAATGATAGGGATGCATGCATGCTCAAGTCGCCTTGTCGGGAAATCCATCGCGATGCCCCGATTTGCCTCTGTTTGCAACTGGTTCCAGAACACTGTATAAAGCTCCAGAAGGCTGTTGACCAGTTTTTGCTCCTGGTTTCCGGTTTGCTGCAACAGAGAGCGAGAAAGGGGCATGGCAAAGTATTTTCAACATATGTGTGCATGACCACTCTCCCCATCATTGCACAAGCTCCAGGGAGTGTAGTCCTCGATCCTCGTGCCACCAATCACGCATCTCGATGCATGATGGCCGTGGAGTCGGATTGCACGACTCAATGGGACATGAATGCACATATAAACAACTAAAACCAACAACTCCATCATGGATGGTCAAGAGTGTCGGTGATCGGGAATCAAGGAACGTTTGATCACTTGGAGTATGAAACATTCCTCGTTTCCCGTGTTTGGACTAAACCCTACTCCAAACACAATGCAACAAATAGAATGGCATGGCATGTACAAAATGCAACTCTAGTATGCAATCCTAAATGTAATGCGACTAAGTGATGCAAACGTGCAAGGGATAACATGCAAACTTGCAACTAGCATACACAATGCTATGAACTAACAATGGTATACTCAATGCACATGACACTTAGCATACACAATAAGATGAACAAGGCATGCACAATGCAATGATCAATCATGCGACAACATGGTATACTCAATGCTATGAACTACAATGGCATACTCAATGCGAAATGATCATGGCATGCTCGATGCAAACAATATCATAACATGCACAATGCATTATGACATGGCATGCACAATGCAAGATGGACTTAACCAAGATGGATGGACCTCAGCCGCACCCCAAATCAGTGGCCAATATGATGAAAATGAGGCAACAAGGTTCATGCAAACATGCACAAATGCAAGGGACCAAACCTGAGGAACAAAGTGAAACTCTACCAAAGCATGGTAAGCATGAAATATGGCATACAATCACATATTTTCCAGCTCTGAAATGACATGCAAGATGGTCCCAAATCATGCAAACACCTCACACAATGCATGCAAGATGGCCCAAATACCGAAACTAGTGAAGTGAATTACACTATAGGCATGCAAAGCAATACTCAAATGGCCAAACCAGCCCCAAACAGTCCCTATGCAGGCCAAAACAGTAGCAAATATGGACTAAAACGATGGCTTGCAAAGCATGGAAATGAAGCTCATGCAATGGTCCAAAAATGAGGTATTCATGCATAACTCTCAAACACATTTAAAGAGTGGAAAACATGGGAATATGGCATACATATAAGCTCTGAAATATGATTCACAATGATGCCAAAACATGGAAACACCTCAAAATACACGTGCAATAGGCTTCAAAACTCAAAGCTAGGCAAGGGTATTGGACTACAACCATGCATAGCAAACATCATTCGACCATGAGGCCCCAAAACAGAGCTAAGGTAGTCCAAAACATGCACAAAATCAGTTTAAGGCATGGCCAAAAAGTGCTAGAATCAAAGGCCAAAATAGCATGCAATGTAAGCTAGTAAAGAGGATTTGCACTACAAGCATGTGAGGCAATCAAGAGGCCACTAAACCAACAAAATTCAGAGGTATGACATGCCAAATAAAGTCCAAAAACCCACTGAAACATGGCTAATGCATGCAAGAATGAGATGCTCCTTTGATATGCTATGAAGAGGGTTATTCTACACATGCAAGATAAACCTAAAAAGTAAAACGTTTTGGCACAAATTTTTTTTAAAAAAATACTGAAAAAAAAAAAAAAAAAAAAAAAAAAAAGCTCTGGAAAGAGCCTATTCAGGTCCTAAAACTCATCAAAAATGGCCTGAAACATGGCTTGGAAACATGAAAATAAGGGCTCCTTTGTAAGGCCAAAAATGCTAGAAAACAAAACAAGGAGAGAGAGGGTCACCCATCTCTGATTTTGGCACTCAAAATAGCATTCTAGTCACCGAAAATCCACTAGATTTCAGTGGCTAAAAGTCTAAACAAAGGCCAACACAAATGCTCTAAGGCATGGCTCAAAACAAGGTAAAATGAAGCATGCAAGGGGGTAGATGACCCCCAATGGAAAAATGATCTTAAACAAACATGTTAAGGGCCTCAAAATAAGACTTTTTTCAGTTTACACCGAAGCTCAAATATGCTTACAAGTATAGCTAAAAGATGAAGCAAAATAAAGCCTTAACAGGGAGAAAGTGTGTTACCCTTGTAGCACAAAAGGACCAGCAACCTCTGGACCGCAAAGACAGCCTCTCAACCTCTGAAAATGGCCTCCAAGATGCTTAGAGTGATGGTGGAGGGGTTAGGTTGGGAGATGGTATGCAAAGGTGCAAGAACCATGCACTTTTTGAGCTTGGATGTAGAGATACAGAGGGAGAAGTCTTGTATGCCTTAGACCAAAAAAAAAAAATTTGAACCCCCTACAAGGAAGGGGAGCCCTTCCTTTATAGACAAGAGGGACTAAAGCTTCTCCTAGAAGCTTAAAACCAAGGGCAAACATCTTCCATACACGTGTATGGAAGATGCAGTCTGTGCCTCCCAGCTGGCACAACTGGAATCAACTCACTGAGACAGAACTGATGGGAGCTGGCCGACCAGTTCAAGTGGTCGGCCGACCACTTGCCCTGGTCGGCTGACCAGGGTCAAAATGTTCAAGTGGTCGGCAGCCTCCCAGGGTGGTCTCCACATGAAATGCAAGCAAGTGGTATGGTGGGAGACTAGTAAATGTGGCCCAAAAACCAATGAGACCAGCTTCTTGTCAAGAAAATCGGCCGGCGAAGAGAAAGGTGGTCTCCAAGGAGAAAAGGTGGTCTCCCACCCTTGTACCACCTTCCAAACAATGAAAATAGGGTCCATGCCAAAAATGAACCAAGACGGATGCAAAGCGAGGGTTCGGGGGCTAAAACGCGCAGCCGGGTGCCCCGAAAACTGACTGTTAAGCATCGAAAGTGGCGTGCGACCACGAAGGTGGTCTCCCGGGCCACAGTGTCCCTCTAGAGAGAGGAAACAAGGTGTGTGCCAAAAATCAGAGCAAACGGAGAAAGTTAAGCAGTTCCGAACCGAGGCGCACAGCCGACGGCTTCGAAAATCGAAAACTAGTCTCCAAACGGGAACAGTGGTCTACGACCACGAAAAGTAGCCTACGGCCACTGAGAGATGGTCTACGAGACCCCTCCCTCCCTTTGGAAATAGAAAACAGAACCTGGTTCGCAAATTGAGGCAAAGAACAAAAGAGTCCCGAAGTCCAGAGGCAAGGCTCTCAGCCGAGACTCCGTAACCTCAGAACGAGCACAACATGCGCAATCACCGAGCACTCAATCGATGATGTCTGAGTCTTAAGGTCGGTCAAAAATGGAGTGTCTACAACCGGCTGAACTTGTGGTAGTTCTATTCTCATTCTGTCGATCTTTTTGTGGGCAATCTCTGGCTAAATGACCTGTCTTGCCACACTAGAAGCATGTCGCTGTTACTCGATAACAAATCCCACGGTGTCTCTTTCCACAATCCGGACAAATTAGTGCAAATCCACGGGTAGAGGCGGATGTACTAGAGGTTCCCGAATTCAATTTCTTACTCAGTGGTGTCACCGAACCCCTTAAGGCTTGGGTATTCTGTCTCTTCCCTTTCCATTCTGAGACCCGGCTTTGAGCAGCAATATTACCCTCAGCGATTACTGCCCTTTCCAACACATCAACATATGTAGGTAATTTCAGCACATTGATCCGGTCGAGAATAACAGTCCGTAATCCACCTTCAAACTTTCTTGCCTCCTTGTAGTCCGTATCCACCATATGTGGTGTGAAACGGGCTAATTCAGCAAATTGCACCTCATACTCTGCAACAATCTTGTTCCCTTGTCTCAAGGTCTCAAACTCGGTCACTTTCTTATCTCGCATACATTGGGGAAAATACTTTTCATAGAACAGCTCCAAAAATCTAGCCCATGTTAACCCTTGATGTGCAGTTCTTATGAGCATCCACCAGCTCCGTGCTTCATCTTCAAGAGTGAAGGCAACAAGTTGTACCTTTTGGGCTTCAGTATAAGGAAAAACCTCAAATAACTTTTCTATACCCAACACCCATGCTTCTACTTTCATTGGTTCAATTCCCCCCTTGAACGAGGGTGGCTTCATCTTTTTGAATTCCTTCGTGAGCGTAATTGTTCGATCCTTAGCTTGGTAATCTTGTACCTCTAGTGGTGGCACAGGTACTGGTGGTGGTGGTTGTTGCTGCTGCTGTTGTTGCCTCAAGGTTTCTGCCATCTCCATAATCATCCTTTCCATTCTATCCAACCGTACGGAGGTAGAATCTTCCGGATCATCCGTTCTTGTCCTCGCCATGATCTACATAACGGTTAGTTGTAATACATACAAAAATACACAAGTAGGCATGGACCATAGTCATTACCAAAATATATATATCAGTGATCGATTCCGGGCATGTCTTCGTAGGACCACGTGAAAACATCTTTGAAATCTTTTAATAAAGCGACTAAGCGCTCGTGTTCCTCAAAAGACAACGTGGCATAGAAAAGAACCAGAAAACATCTCTAGACCAACCGCGGGTCCTTCTCAGTACCAACATTAATTGCAGTGATTTCATCAACCAAAGGTTTTACAAACTTCTCCTGCTCTTGATCAAGCAAATGTTTCAAAACCGGAGGAATTTCTTCCTCGTCGTTTTCATCGAAGTTTTGAAAGTCCTGATTAATGCAATAAACTAAAGGCATAGAAAAGTACTCAAAAGCCACCGCTGTACTATTCTCATTAATAACATCCAGTTCGTCTGATTCTTTGAGTATAACCGACTCGAAGGAAAAAGAAAAAGACGACCTGGACAGGATAATAGCATCCGGGTTATCACCCCTAGGAATACCAGACTCAGACTCAGACTTAGAAGAACCAGAATCTGATTTCGACTCCACAGACTCTGCGGAATCAGATTCTGGTTCACTACCTGATCCAGAACTGCTCGATAAAAAGCCTTCCTCGTACTGCCAAACGAGGGAAGGTGCGATGGATGCATCAAGAATGCCAGAAGAAAGGCTCGCAGCTGTTTGATCGCCAATCATAGAAACTGAGAAATCACCCTCTGAGCACTCTGGTGTGATCTAAGGATTTGAGAGGAGACAAGCCAGTGCTACCCCCATCTCAATTTCTGTGCTCTCGGACTCACCCTCTTTGCATTGCTCAGCCTCAACTGGTGGGTCGGTCTGCTCTTCCGCAACTTCATCCCCTGATAACTGAGGGTCAAAAAAGATCTCGAAGCCAGGCAAACGTCGCTTCTATGAATTCAACCATGGCTCCGAAAAGCCGCAAAACGGGAAGTCTTCCCCCTCCCGGACAAAACGTCCGTTTAGGGTTCCCTGGGTAGGTCTGTGCACCAACTCGTAGTGCTTCCCGGCTTGCTTAGCTTGGGCTCTTCCAGCCATTTCCCTTCATTTCCTTGCCCAATGCTCCTTGGTAGGCGAGTAACCTAAACCAAAGGTATAAGGGTTGTGTGGCACTTCGGCCAATGCGGCGACGTCCTTCCAGCCACTCCGTCCTAGTCCCATTCCGAGCATATGTTGAAGCTTGTTCATGAGGTAAACAGACTACGCACTGACATACAGTCCCTCATCAACAGCCAGCAAGTCCTGTACTACTCGAGCCTCAGCCAAGGTGAATCCTGACAGAAAGACATCCTCCACGCCATGTTCAATTTCCAAAACTGGTGTAGAAACCTCTGGCGGCAGATGTATGGAGGAGTTCCCAAAAACAATTGCCACCCCCTTCCCGTGGGGGTACTTCAGCATCTAGTGTAAGGTGAAAGAGACAGCTCTCACCTGGTATAGCCATGGCCGCCCAAGGAGTAGATTGAAGGTGGCTGGAACATCCAAGACATGGAACTCAATGTCATGCTACCCCAGGCAAACCTTAGTCTTGATTTTTTACGGTCCCCATCACCTCCTAATTGGTGTTATCATAGGCCCAAATTACCTGGGTTGTCGGTGCGAAATCCGCGGGCTTCAACCCAATAGCATATGCCATTCGCGATGGACATACATTTATTGCAGATCCCGTATCAACCAGGACCACCGGTATCCACTTCTCCTTGCACTCCACAGGGATGAGCAGTGGCTTGCTATGTTTAGCGCCCTCAGGCGGCAGTTCTTTGTCTGTGAAGGTTAAGGTCGGTGAAGCTCCACCTGGGAAAACCAACCGTACCAACTGCTCGAGCGTTGTATCAATCGAAAGCTTGGCCCTATCCATGGATGAAAGGACGGCCTGTCTATGCACCCTTGAGGCCATAAGCAGTCCCCAGATGGAGATGTCTGCTTGAATTTTCTTTAGCTGCTTCAGTACAGCTTCCTTCTCTAGCAGTTTTTCTTTCTGCCTCTCTGCTTCTTTGTCTTTTCCGGACGCCTTTGGCTGGTCCAAATGTGGGGACTTGAAGTACCACCCACTTCGGGTCATATGGTCGACCTCCTCGGTGTACCAGGTGTCATCCGGTTGGTTCTACCCCTAGTCCTCGTCAGTGTGGGCAAGATGCAAGTCATCGTCTTCCCACCACCTCCCATCGGCAACCGACAGACAGCTGTCCGGTTCCGCCGTAGCTGTTTCTGTGCTCTCAACACATTCTGCGCCCTCAGGTGCCTTGGCTTTTGTAGCCCTGCTATCATTCTCGATTCTCTCTTGCTCAAACCATTTCAATGCAGCCTCTTGTTCGGTGTCTACTGTACATAAACTACCTAAGTCTCGAGCAAAATTCTTCGCACCGGTGCTCTCCAGCGATTCGTCCTGATTCTCGGCCGTTCCGACCACTGCAGATGTTCCTGTCTCTGACTGACCCTATTCTGATTGAAGCACCTCAACAACATCCGGCTCGTCATTGAGCCACCCTGCATTATCTGTCGATCCATTCAGGTCGAACCAATTGATGCTCACATCCCCTGGATCCTGCTCGTTAGAGAACTGCAAATTCGCAATGTCCTCCTCCAGCTCCGCCAAATCATCGAGCCCCTGGCTCAGCTCATCTTCTCGGACCACATTGATCTCTGCCCCAGTTGGCAATTCTACCCTTTGCAGATCCCGTATCAACCAGGACCACCGGTATCCATTTTTCTCTACACTCCATAGAGATATACAACGGCTTGTTATGATTGGGGCCCTCAGGCAGTAGTTCTTTGTCTGTGAAGGTTAGAGTCGGCGAAGCTCTTCCCGGGAAAACCAATCCTACCAACTGCTCGAGCGTTGTATCAATCGAAAGCTTGGCCCTGTCCATGGATGAAAGGACGGCCTGTCTATGCACCCTTGAGGCCATAAGCAGTCCCCAGATGGAGATGTCTGCTTGAATTTTCTTTAGCTGCTTCAGTACAGCTTCCTCCTCTAGCAGTTTTTCTTTCTGCCTCTCTACTTCTTTGTCTTTTCCGGACGCCTTTGGCTGGTCCAAATGTGGGGACTTGAAGTACCACCCACTTCGGGTCATATGGTCGACCTCCTCGGTGTACTAGGTATCATCTGGTTGGTTCTACCCCCAGTCCTCGTCAGTGTGGGCAAGACGCAAGTCATCGTCTTCCCACCACATCCCATCGGCAACCGACAGACAGCTGTCTGGTTCCGTCGTAGCTGTTTCTGTGCTCTCAACACATTCTGCGCCCTCAAGTGCCTTGGCTTTTGTAGCCCTGTTATCATTCTCGATTCTCTCTTGCTCAAACCTTTTCAATGCAACCTCTTGTTCAGTGTCTGCTGTACACAAACTACCTAAGTCTCAAGCAAAATTCTTCGCACCAGTGCTCTCCAGCGATTCGTCTTGATTCTCAACCGTTCTAGCCACTGCAGATGTTCCTGTCTCTGACTGACCCTATTCTGATTGAAGCACCTCAACAACATCCGACTCGTCGCTGAGCCACCCTTCATTATCTGTCGATCCATTCAGGTCGAACCAATTGATCCTCATATCCCCTGGATCCTGCTCGTTAGAGAACTGCAGATTCGCAATGTCCTCCTCCAGCTCCGCCAAATCATCGAGCCCCTGGCTCAGCTCATCTTCTCGGACCACATTGATCTCTGCCCCAGTTGACAATTCTACCCTCAGCTTAACCTGATCTGTTGACACAATAAAACCGCACGGGTTGTATGCTTCCTCAGTAAAGCTCCCAGATCCCATAGGTTCTGAACCAGCATTCCCATTCTCCTCTAAGGTCACCCCGGTTCTGTCTTCAACAGTCATCACCACTGGCTTGGGCTGGGTTAGAGAGGTGCTCATCATGCACAAGGCTATGCTATCTGGGATGAACACCTCAGGCTTAGGCAAGTGGGAGGGGGTGATGTATACGCTAGGGTCATACGGGATGGCCGCGGTTTGGATCAGGTTGATTTGCTTAGGTGGTGGAGCTTGGTTATGTGGTGAAAGTGGGTTGGTAGTGACATTTGGCTTGTCAGGAGGCGCAATCACCTTGTTGTCAATGAGATCCTCGATCTCATGACGTAGTCTGAAGCAGAGGTCGGTGTCGTGACCGTGCTGCTGGTGAAAGGCACAATATTTGGCCGGGTTATGTGTTTAAGGAAGGGGATTTGGTAGTGGCCGCGGCTCTAGGGGCTTCAAATAGCCCTTTCTAATTAGGACCCCCAGGGCTTTGGAAAGAGGCATTTACGGTGGAGTGAAAGTCCTCTGGCCTCAGGGTGGATATTTCGAAGTTTGGGGGTTTGGATTGGATGTACCGGTGAAGGGTGTGGCTATTTTGGACGTGGTGGTGACCATGCCGACGTCAGAAGTTCTAGCGGCTGCACTACTACTTGTAGCTGCATTTGAACCGCGTATAAACACCCTCTTGGGCTGCTCCTTTTTCTGGTCGATCAAACCTTGCTTCATAGCATCTTCAATTTGTACCCCAATCTCATGCAAGTTAGCAAAGGTGGGGAGGGGTAAGACGATCATTTTATGCATCAACTTGGGTTGCAGGTTGCGCACAACCATCCTTTTCTGATCCTTCTCCAGTGGCCGAGTTGTCATCGTGGAGGCCTTGGCTCTCCATCTAGTGACAAAGTCAGAAAAGCATTCCTTCGGCTCTTTCCTGGTTGCCTCGAGATCACGAGTCATGACCTCGATCTAGGTATTGTATGAATACTGGGCGACGAAGGCCTCAGCCATCTCCTCCCAATTCCTTTTCACTGAATCCTCCAACCTGGCGTACCAGATGGCCGCAATACCCGACAGGGTTCGACCGAAGAGTGATAGTTTCTGGAGTCTCGTCAAGCCCATCAAGCACAGAATGTCAGAAAACAGCCTCAAATAAACCATAGGATCGCCCGAGCCGTCAAAGCGATCTATGTGAGGCATCTTGAACCTGTCTGGCAAC